AAGGAACTGTCTCAGAAGCCTCAGTAACTTTGAAGAAATTGCTCGTTGCCAGCCCTCATGGTTGCCCACTGGGTTTCTACTTCCCACATCACATTTGAGGTCTTTTAAAAAGAATAATTTTCAGACCTGCATACTGACAATGTATCCAGAATAGCAGACAAAATGGACATCTGTATTAAAGATAAACACCTTTACCCTCATTTCCATTGAAAGTCCCCATCAGAGAGTGATGTTCAGCACCTACATGTTCAGAGCTTCCTTTTCCACTCCTAATTCAGTTTCATTGTATGTGGCTAATGATAAAACTGTTACCCATTGCCTTGGCAACATATCCATTTGCTAAAAGGAGAAATAAAACCTGAGATTTAAAATTTTCTGCCAGGTCTCTTACACTAATTTAGGAAATATTTTTAAAAGAAATAGATATTAATAGCCTACAAATAGTAACAGGAAAATGTTTCAAGAGAAGACACTCATGAAAATGTATTAAAGCTTATTTTTTAAAATAAAAATCAAAGAATTTTGATGCCATTAATGTTCTTCAATGTTCTTCATTAAATTAAATATTATTTCTGGGTGGCTCAGTCAGTTGAACATCTGACTTCAACTCAGGTCATGATCTCACGAGTCATGGGGTCAAGCCCTACATCAGGCTTTGTGCTGACAGCTCAGAGCCTGGAGCCTGCTCCAGATTCTCTCTCTCCCTCTCCCCTACTTGTACTCTCTCTCTCAAAAACTAAACATTAAAAAAAAAGGTTGAAATATTACTTCTGCTCCAAAATGTACACTATAGTCTTCCAGTAACTTCATGAATTTTGTGCATATTGGAATTTCCCATCCTGGAATTTATAAATGGTTAAAGAAAAATAAAGATTGCTCTGAGGAAACCCTAACCGTAGGTTTGAAAACAATAAAATATTTGTACTTAAAGGTTATAATGTATAAGTCAGATAAAAATGCAAATTTAAAACTCAAGACTTTTTCGAATCCTTACTGCAGTTTTCCAGAAGTAACCTCATAATTCAATTATCTGTTATTTACATTCTACCTCAACATTGCTGTGATTTTACCTTTTTTTTCCTTTGTTGGCTTCTGTTGGTAAATGAAAAACAAAAGAAGTGAAGCATTTTCAAAATGAACCAAATACTAAAAAGTAGTAGATTGCAGAACAGCCAAACACCACAGAACTATTCACAGCATTTTATTTCCACTCCACAATTTGTTGGCCAGAAGCTACGTTTAGCAGGTAATCTCAGGGCTTGCTCACAATTTAGGAAGTCAGCTAAGCAGTTTTTCCAGGAAATGCAAAGAACATGACAGGACTTGCACTCTGTTGGAGTAGAAATACATCTATTGTGCGTTTTGGGGCACGAGACTGGAGTCTGCATCCTTACTCACCCTGTAATTATTGCTATTGGCAATAGCGTTCTCATGTTCAAAGAGATCCTTTGATTGAGTTGCTATGTTAAGCTTATTTTCAAAGGGATTGTTCTACTGAACCATTGAATTATGAAAGTATTCAAAAGTTATTTCAGTTTAGCTTGTTTTTATTTATAGGAATATTACATAGCTAATTGGTAGAATACCTAGAGTATATAAAGATATCCATGTGACTTTTTAAAAGATAACATGTTACCAAAAGAGTTTGAAAACCTAAATAATTATTGCTAATGGCTGTTGGCCACTCATCATATACCATGTAATAAACTAAGTTCTTTTTTATTTTTTAAAGTTTAGGGCACCTGGGTGGCTCAGTCTGTTAAGTGACTTCAGCTCAGGGCATGATCTCATGGTTCATGGGCTGGAGCCCTGCATCAGGCTCTGTGCTGACAGCTCAGAGCCTGGAGCCTGCTTCAGATTCCGTGCCTCCCTCTCTCTCTGCCCCTCCTCCATTCATGCTTTGTCTCTCTATCTCTCTCTCTGTCTCTGTCAAATATAAATTTAAAAAAATTAAATGTATTTATTTATTTTGAGAGAGAGAGCACGCAAGTGGGGGAGGAGCAGAGAGGGAGGGGGACAGAAGATCCAAAACAGGCATTGTGCTGAGAACAGACAGCCTGATGTGAGGCTCCAACTCACAAAAACATGAGATCTTGACCTGAGCTGAAGGCAGACATTTAACCAACTGAGCCACCCAGGTGCCCTGAAGTTCTTTTTGTAAAAAATCCTTATTTATTTATTTATTTATTTATTTGTGTGTGTGTGTGTGTGTGTGTGTGTGTGTGTGTGTGTGAGGGAGACTGTGCACGAATGTGCGTGTGCAAGCAGAGAAGCGGCAGAGACAGAGGGAAAAAGAGAATCCCAAGCAGGTTCTGTGGTGTCAGCTCAGAGTCTGACCCGGGGCTTGATCCCATGAATCGTGAGATTATGACCTGAGCCAAAATCAAGAGTTGGTCCCTTAACCGACTGAGCCACCCAGGTGCCCTTATACTAAGTTCTTTTATGCTTCATTCATTCATTCATTCATTCATTCCAACATATATCTGTTGTCTACTATGTGCATTACTCTAGGGCCTGGAGAACAGCAGTGAACGAAGCATCCCAGCTTTCATGAAGCTTATATTCTTGCACGAAACAATTAACAAATAAGTGAAACATAGACCATCTTTAATGAAAATAAGTGCTATGGAAAAAAATTAAGCATCAAAAGGAGACACTGAGGACTCTGTGTGAGTATGTGTGTGTTAATGTACCTCACTGAGATAAGTCAACATGTGAGCAAAGACCTGAAGGAGCTGAGGAAGTCCAAAAGTGGGTCCCAGGAAGATGTTTGTTAAACAGCATTAAGCAATTACTTATTGAGTATTCTTATGAACCACCTATTTAATTCTCACATCAACAGTTTATGGTAGGTACTTTCATTGTTCCCATTTTGCAGGTAAGAGAATTGAGGCTCAAAAATGTAAAGAAATTTGTTTAAGGCCACAGCGTTCACAAAGGGCAAGTTGAGATCTGAACGCAGATCTGCCTCGCTCACAAACTGTAAGGCTTTCAACCAGTTTCATCCTGTCTAATCACCCACTTATCGTATCACAAGATTTCTACGTGCTCAATATTGGTACCTACGTAGGATGATAGTCAATTACAACATCACACTTAAAAAAAAAAAAAACTACTTGAGAGGAAAAAGTAAGCCAAGTTTGGCTCAAATAAAATAAATGAGAAAAATTCCTCTCCAGTTCCCTGGTTAGGGTTCTAGATGGCGGCAGAGCTGACCTTGTGGATTATGGCTCTCCAGGCACAAAAACAGGGATGCCTCAGCTGGCCCTGTGGGGCTGGTACTGAAATGTCCTTCAATGCAGCGTTTCCAGGGCTGAAATAAGAGGCCATGAGTAGAAGTGGGGCAGAGAAAGAAGAAGGGGACGGGCACTGAGTCTGTTGTTGGAAGTCTCTATCATCACTCCCCCATCAGGTCACTGATCTTTTCAGTTGAATCTCAGCATCAGGGTTGAATGTTTACATCTGACTGTGTAATTGAACTCTTCACGGGGTATAATCTACTTCAGGACTGGTCCTGCTGTAAGGCATTAAGACCCACCATCCACATGACTTCACTTAAGCACTACTTTCCACAAGGCTTTAGCCTGTGGCCTGCTGAGAAAGAGTGGCAAAACTATCACCACTCTGTGGTCTAGGCTTTGGGCCCCTTGATTTCCTCTTCACTCCCTGGAAGCACATGTACCTGTGCATTAAGTGTGTGTGTATGCTTAGTGGTGAATGCACAGGACAAAAGGGAAGCTGTGTTCCCCAGCCACTCCAGACCTGAATAAATGGAGTTTTGCAGTAATTGAGTGATTTGAGGGAAAGTGAACATACAAATCCAAACAATCAAAGGAAAGATTATCTTACTTAATACCAGGGATAGAGGTTTTTCTTTCTGCCTCTCAAGTCCAAAGAGGAAAATCAGGACAAGTGGCTTAGGTTGTAAAGGTCAAGGACCCTTTCTGTTGAGCTTGGCTCTCAAGTTCTCTGAGTAGTCAACTGCGGGTGAAACATAATGAATAGCATGATAAATATCAGTTGTGAAAGATCTGATTGAAAGTCAGAGGCCACTTCCATGGGCACCCTACAAAAAGCTTACCATAAACAAGGCTTAATCAACATTAGCAGGGCTATTAAACAGTATCACCTATTAAAAGCGAGCTCTTCCTAGCGCCTCTTTTTGGAGTTTCTCTGTGTGGGTGTGTTCGTAAGAGACTGGGTGAGCAAGAGTGTACTGGGTACAATTTGTGTGTTTACAAGAGAAAACAGAAGCTCTCAATGAGGAAGAACATATGTTTCTGGGACGGCATCTGCGCAAAAAGTACATAGCCCCTGAAGTTGTACTAAGAAAAAAAACTAGTTAAAAAAAGTCTTTTATTTCACACACGTCATCTTCTTGGCACATTTCCCTCCTACTGCCCTTTCTGCCCGACCTTTCTTACCCTCAGGTCCAGGAAAACCACGAAATGTTGAACAGTCTGACAGAGGCTGCCTAACCAGATATGCTACTCACTCGGGGATCCCAGAGGCAAATCTCAAGCCAGGATCAGAAATGACTCTCCAGGGCGCACCTGCCTGGAGGGCGGCCACTCTGCAATTAAGCGGAAATCACATCCCTTGCCAGGGCTGCGCGGACGCCGAGCACTGCAACCTGAGCACAGCGCGGCCCCTGCAGGCGGTATCGGAGGTGACTCGGAGGGTTTGCGCGACCCCGGGCAGACCGCGCCCCTCACCCACCTCCCCGCGGGCGCGTCCGACTAGCCAAGGGTCGGCGCGCGCGATCGGCCCCGCCCCCGCCCCAGTGCGCGTGCCTGGCCGGAGCGGCGCCCCCTGCCCGAGGAGAAGCTGGACCTCAGATCGGGAGGCCGCACTCCCCCTTGCTGGGGCCTCGCTCCAGGCGTGGGGGGCGGGGCTGGAGGCGGGGCCGGGGCGGGGCTCGAGCCAGTGCCCGGGGCTCTGCTGCAGCGTCTTCCGCAGGTCTCGCGGCAGGCTAGTGGCTCCGTCGCCCCTCCGGCCCCATGGCAGCCCCCGGCTCCCCGGCAGAGTGCGGCTACATCCGGACAGTCCTGGGCCAGCAGATCCTGGGGCAGCTGGACAGCTCCAGCCTGGCTCTGCCCTCCGAGGCCAAGCTGAAGCTGGCGGGGAGCAGCAGCCGCAGCAGCCAGGCGGCCAAGAGCCTGCGGATCCAGGAGCAGGTGCAGCAGACCCTGGCCCGGAAGGGCCGCAGCTTGGTGGGCAACGGTGAGTGGAGCCCCGCTGTCCCCCGCACCGCGCGGATCCCGCCCCTTGACCCTTCCCCTACCCAACCCTCATTCTCAGCGCCCTGTTGCTTCGATTCGTTGCTTCCTGGGGGTGCGGGACCTGGTGTTCTGCCCACCTGTTGCTCGCCGTCCCTTTGTATGACCCGCCGCTCCTCCAGACTCTGACTTACTTGGGGAAAGCATTCTAAAAGCTTATTCAGCTTCGTCTTCTATGTATTTACATATATTAGATGCACGTGTATATCTACGTGAAAGAATTCAGTACTAGATTTTTACCCCTTCCTTAACACCCTCCCCTCTTCACCCACCCCCCACCCCAATACCGTGGATTTA